AATATATACATTGTTATGTGCTATCAAATCACAAACAACTTACAGCCTACTGTCCAGCTGGTTTTTAGAAGGAATAAATCACATGGCAGGAAATTTCCCATCCTTCTCTAGCAATATTTTTTGTATTTATATATAAATTATATACACACACATAGGAAGCTCTAGTGGCTTTGTGGTAAGGAAGTGCACTGTCAATTCAAAGATAATTGGTTCGAATCCATCAGCTGCTTAATGGGACAAAGATGGATAATGTCCTGCTGTGTGATTTACTGCCTCTGAAAATCCACTGGAGGGTCAGCTATGAGTCAGTTCTGACTCAGTGACACACAACAATAATGTGTGTTCTCTGTATACATTATATATATATAATAGAGAGAAAGGCCCATGTCACATTTTGGTATTTACCGAGGATTGCTTTTAGCATCCTGCTGCCACAATTCAGAGGCCTCAGTTTTTCTTTGGTCTTCCTTTTTTTTTGTTGTCCAACTGTTACATGCGTATTAAATAATTTAAAAATGCCATCATGGGTGAGGCACATCTTAACAAGATTAATAGTTGCAAAATATTCATTCCTTTGTTTTAAACTTAAAATTTAGTGCAATAAAATATGTAAATGTTCAACCAAATAATTTGATTCTTTTAATATTTTAGTTCATGAATTCCTGAGAAGAAATATCAAAACTTTGTATCATGGGGATTTGTTTGAAAATTTATCCAAATCTCATATTTCCTAAGCTTTCTCTGTCCCATTAGGTATTTCTGTGTTGGTGTTATTGATTACTATCCCATATAAATTTGGTGATATTTATAGGTGAAACACTGCCATTTTATTCTTCCTTTTCTGTATTAAAAAAACACACCCTAAAACTGAAGCCCCTTGATTGCCATCATGTCGATTCCAACTCATAGTGAGCAGGTACAGTGGACCAGAGCTGCCCCATAGGATTTCCGGCACTATAACCTTACAGAGGGGCTTTGGTGGTGTATTATATAGAGAGTTGGACTGCTAACCCAAAGGTTGGGCTCCTCTGTTGGTTCAGCTAAGACTGTCTTACTGAGAATGGGTCATGTGGAATGTAATGTAATACTTTCCCTCTGTTTTTAGACTCCTCAGAAAATAAAGAGAAGAAATCTTTTAGCCTTGAAGAAAAGTCCAAAGTTTCAAAAAACCGTGTTCATTACATGAAGTTTACAAAAGGTAAAGATTTACCATATTTTTCTTTATTGTTGAAATATGTATATATTTTTTGAAATATGTATATTTAACCTCAAATTCTTAAAGCCTATATACCTGCTTATCAGCAGGAGCTTCTCATTTTAATCCACAAATTTGAGGATACCTCATTGAATTGCCCAAAATTTGTGCTCAATTTCCAAGATCTGTGATGAATCACTTAAGAGACTTCGATTAAAATGCAGATTCTGATTCAGTAGAGCCGAATCTGGGCCCACCATTAAGTTTTATATGCAGGTATAATGGAAAACTGTGCATAATGGAAGGGTTGACTCAGTGACTGGGGCAATGGGGGTAGATATGTCGGAGACAGTGAATTTGGCTTAAGATAGAGCAAGGCTCAGAGCTGTTCTATATAAGATCGCTGTGAGTTGGAGTCAACAGCACATAACAATCACAACATAAAGGCAAAGCTAAAAATGGAAGTCAGCTTTTATTTTGAAGCAAGAAAGGAGTTTATATAGCTAGATGAGAAAGAATTAGGAGGAAAAAGTTGCTCAACTTTTTAACTTATATTCTCTTGTTATTGACAGCTTAATGTTGTTGCTAAATAGCTCCTCATCTACCAGTTTAGAGAAATTACACTCTAAGGTCTCAAATGTAATAATTTAAACTACAGATTTGAGCTCTAGTGGTCTAGTGGTAAGAGGCTGCTTTCCACTCCCAAAGACACATGGTGCAAATCCACCAGCTGTTCTGCACAAGGATGGTTAGTCTCCTCCCTTGTGATTTACTGTCTTTAAAAAAAACCAACAGGACGGTCAGCTATGCATTGATCCCAACTATATGGTAAACTACAAGGTTACCTCACACAAAATTTCTTCATTTCATGGAGTATTAACTTAGGTCATTGACAAGATAAAGTGAGAAATAATACTTGAGAACTAGATGATAAATTGGATCTTTATCACTACTTCTCCTTTCTTTTTCCCAACATCCAGGCAGATTGTAGATTAGGATTATCTGATTTGCATATGACTTGGAGTTATGAACCAACTATTACACTAAAAATTTGAGGTACATGCAGTGGTTTGTAGTATCAAATGTGTTACTTTTTATATGTATATGAAAAATTACTACTGTATTACTATGTTAAGATGTCTTAGTGTATCTGAAAAGTCTTTAGTATTTTTTATGGAAAGAAAAGTACTGAATTTATTCAGACATTTGAATAATTGGCATTAAATATTGTTGTTATTGTTGTGTACTATCAAGTCAGAACCAAGCCATAACTGACCTTCCAACGGGTTTTAATAGACTGTTAATATGTGGGAGGAGATTGCCCATTCTCTGGCAGACCAGCCGCTGCCTTTGTAATTGCAGCACAGTTTCTTACCCCTAACCCACCAGAGTTCCTTTAAAAGTACCTAATTGTTCCAACTTGTGTACAGTGTGACTGAATGACAACTCATTGTTTATATAGAGCTCTGGTGTCTTAGTAGTAAGGAATTATGCTGCTGACCCAAAGGTGGTTGTTGTTGTTAGGTTCTGTTGAGTTTTATATGACTCGTAATGACCCTATGAGCAATGGATCTGAACCCTGTCCTGTCCTGTGCCATCTTCATGCTTCCTGACACACTAGAGCCCATTGCTACAGTCACTGTGTCAGTCCACCTGGTTGACGGTCGTCCTCTCCTCTGAGGACCCTCTAGCCTTCCAAGCATCATTTCCCTTTCCAAGGAATAGCCCTTCCTAGCAGCATGCCCTAAGTATGTGAGGTGAATTCTCACCATCTTTGCCTTCAAAAAGCACTCTGGCTGCATCCTCTCCAAGATGTGTTTGTTCTTTCTGTTGGCCGTCTAATGGTATGTTCAGTGCTCTTCTCCAGCACCACAGCTTAAAGGCGTCAATTCTTCTGTCATCCCTATTCATTATCCAGTTCTCAGATGCATAGCAAGTGATTGGAAAGACCATGATCTGAATCAGAAGTACCTTAGTCCTCAAACTGACATCATTACTCCTCAATAGTTTAGAGAGGTCCCTAACTGCAGACTTGCCCAATGCAGTACATCTCCTGATTTCCTGACTATGGTAACAGTTGTGGGTCCAATTAAGATGAGGTTACTGACAGTTTCAGTCTCTTCTCCATCTATCATGAGATTGCCTATTTTAACCACCGAACCCAAAGGTATGTGGTTTGAATCCACCAGCTAGCTACTTGACGGGAGAAAGTCTACTGCATCTGAAAACCTACTAGAGGGTCCACTATGGTTTGGTCCCAACTCAACAGTACACAGCAACAATATAGCCATTAAGGAGCTCTGGTGATGTGATACTGAAAGTTTTGCCTCTCTGGCAGTTCAGATCTACCAGTGGCTCTGTGGAGAAAGATGAACATTCTCCTTTGTGATTTGGAAACTAGCTAGAGGGTCAGCTATGAGGTTGACGCTGACAAGTTTTCAGTGAGACTTTTGTACGTGCAGTTGTTCACTTTGACCACTAGGTGGTGTTCTTGTATTAGTAAGGAGAAAACGATTCTATCCCATCAACTCTGGCAATGTTTTCCCCTTTGACATTTCATGAATTAAGTTATGAACCAACACTTATGGGTACTTTCCACCTACAAAAACCTATTTATTGTATAATATATTTAAAATCTAATGTTATGATGTATATGCCATGGTATCACCATTTGATTTTTCTTCTATGAGAGGTGGTGGTTGTTGTTGATTACTGTTGAGTTGAGCACAACTCATAGTGACCCTATGAATAAAGGGCCTGAAGCTTTTCTGTAACTATCATCATTTATCAAAGTTCTTAGTTTCCAGAGGCATATGAGAGATTACACATTTTTATTTCTTTGTTCTAAGAAAAACATCTCTTTAAAATATCTTGTCCGTATTATTGGCATTTTCCAGACTCTAGATATACAGCTGAATAATAGTGGGACTTAGAACTCCTTTTATGTAAACTTTATGTAAACAATATCATGATAGATGGAGAAGAGATTGAAACTGTCAATAACCTCATCTTACTTGGACTCACAATTGGTACCAAGTGGTTCTTACAGGTTTTGGTTTTGGACTCCAACAAGAAAGGCCTGAATTTGGTTTAAATGAAAGGCCATGATAGTCCTGAACAGATTCAGGCTACATAGCTTCTGGGATGCATATAAGAAGGAGATAGAGCCATTATCCTCCTTCCTGTTCCCAGCAGGTGTGTTTTAGATTGCTTTTTCCATGCATTGCGTTTATCTGCCTCTTAGATTAGAACCTCCTTTGTTGTTGTGATCTATAGTTTATGACAAGCCAGGTTATAGAATTTGTTACATCATTTATAACTTACCCCTGCTGGAGAATAGAAAACTGTTGACCTTCATAGTAAGTCTTGCATTTTCAACAAAGGATAGTTACTTCATACCCACTCCCTTAAACATCCCTCCTTATTTCTTTAGACCCCATAGAAAAACGAAGAGATAAGGAAAGAGGTGCAAATTAATGAAATACGGCCTATAACTTTTTTTAAAGCTGCCTTTTATGTTTTTACTTGTGCAAATAGAATCTTCTGCTTTCCTTTTGTGTTAGACTCCATGCATGATTTCATCTGAAGCATTTGCTGAAGCTGGAATAAACCTCTTTAATCTACTTTAATTGAATAGATGCCTAAAGCACCTACTTTCTATTTCTAGTTGAGCCACTCCCTCGTTGAGTGACCCTGACAACTCCATCGTTGAGTGATGTGTTTTGCCTTCGTTTACTCTCCTTTCAAATTAGGCTTGCTTAAATTATTAGCCATGCTGGAAATTGGAAATAAGTGGAAAAACTAGAAAAAGAGACAAAAGTCCAAGTGGGGAAGAAAAGATTTCTGTTTCATCTTTATAATCCACAGTAAACATTTCTTTTACTTAACTTTCCTTCCACTTCCTAAAAAGAACATCTTATTTTAAAGCAGGTATTGTTATTGACTATGAAAGACAAAGTACGTTTTCTCTAAGATACACTATCTTAGACCACAGGATGGCTCTGGGCATCACTCATTAAAATCTGTGTGATTTCAGAAGACTCATTTATTAGTCGGGTGACTTCTTTCAGACACTTTCCTCTTTTTTTAAAAATGAAGGGGGGAAAATAAGTACTAAGCTAGTATTAAATAGGTTCTACATTTTGACTGATCAGAAAAGATCCTCTCATGGGACTTTTGCCTTTTCAGCATTGTGAATAAGAAAGATATTAGTACATGGGTCAATTCATAACGTGTTTTTTTTTTAAATTTTTATTATTATTTTGTGTTTGTGTACCATTAAATCAAATCAGATCTGACTGGTACAGGAGGAGATTGCCCCTCCTTCTCCAGCAGAGCATCTGGTGGATTTGAACCACACATCCCTGGGATTGCAGTGCAGCTTCTTGCCATTAGGCCACCAGAGCTCCCCAATTCATAACATTTTAATGAAATTACTAAGTCATTTGTTGGTGAGAATGATTCGTATTGTAACTCCTTCTAGGGTTAGAGAAATAAAAACATAGAAAGGTGAAATTTAAATTAATACCTTCGTGATAATAAAAATAACTGTTTGACTTTAGTGAGACTGCAGTAGCAAATCCTATTATATTGTGAAATCTCTTACCACCTCGCTATTGGCTACTTCACTTAAGATCTGATCCAAAAGTATTCTTTTCTCTAGTCCGAAATATCATTTTCATTTGAAATAATTTATCATACAATTTATAATTTTTATTCCATCCTTACTGATTCAACATCTTGACTCCACTGTGGTTTCTTTTCGTTTTTAAAGGTGTTTGGTTAGATATATCTGTAGAGAAAGAAAATATAGAGAAAATATCTTTATGAAACAGTTTTGAAGTCTTTTAGCTATACAGTGGGGTTTGGCAAGAGATTATGGGGTTTGTTTTTTGTTTTGTTTGTGGGTTTTTTTTTTTTAGTTATGTGATGCACAGGTAGAAAATGGCATAAAGTGTAGTAATACAGCTTTTAATTATAATTTATTCAGACTTCTTATTCCT